GAGGAACCATTGTGTTTATTGATTGGGTTTCGAAACCCAAAAATATATATACAAACTAGCTATCTCGGCAAACGTTGTTCTGCCATGTAAATTATTTCTAGGGAATTTGTAGGGTAGAAAAAACTGTTTAGGGTGGACCACTCTTAACATTTAGGGGGATGAAAAATAGATGTTGTCCGATTCTCCACCCTTGCCGATATGTACATAAAATTTCACGAAAATCGGTCCAGCCGTTTTGGAGGAGTTCAATTACAAACACCGTGACACAAGAATTTTTTATATGAGATGTTTAGTATGAAGCAAAACGTATTGATTGCGTTAACGTAACCACATTTTCGTAACGGGCATTATAATGACGGATTATCTAATTTAATGTGATAGCTGATCCCACATGTCTAATATCCACTCTAAAAATGCCACATCAAGTTTCTTAATAAAATAATATTAGTTAGTCTATTAATATTAGTTGATAGATCATTGATGACATTTAACTGATAACAATCTCTTTACTATGATGTAGAGAAGACATCTAAATTATATTTTCATATGTTTGTAATGAATAAACTCAAAAACTACTGTACCGATTTCAAAAATTATTTCAAAATTAGAAATCTACATCCTCCTTGAGTAGCATAAGCCATATTTAATTACTAAAAATGGGGATGCCTGCTAAAACTTCAATAATGTAATCCAAGGTGTAAAAATAATTGCGAAGAATTTTTTAGTTAAATTATAACGCAATCACCGATATTTAAACTTCTTTTTTCTTCAAGCATAAGAAAACAAAAAGAAATTACATAATTTCTTAATGTTCTTATTACACCTGCTTTTATTTTGTTTTCGGATCCACGTTTAAATTGGTAAACTTTCCTTCTCTCGCTTAACTACGCTTGTAAAGTTTTGTCATCTGGTATAATATTTTCTTATGTTTCCAACTGATGTTGTTCCTATATGTTCTATAGATATTCGATCTTAAACAGGGAACTTTTAAGCGTTCGCGATAACTTGATGTTGTCCAAAAACTTTTTCCCGATTCCGAGCTGTGATGTTATAAACACTAGTATTGATTATCTTAGCTGTTTTAAAGAAAATGATGAATGGTAATAAAATAATAAAATGACCGTTAATTCACTAGCATGAGGCTGTTTTCTTCTAATTTAACACAAAACGATAGTAAAGCATAGAGAGGGGTTATATAAACGTCTTTTATTTGTTTATTGAAAATGTAGTATTACAAGTGGTTTGATGTTCTGAAATTAATCAAATAGCTTTACTGATCGTATGTTTCATTGTTTTAACATTAATAAATATATTTTTTGACAAAAAAAAAAGTTTTTCCTAGATAAAAACAGCTATAAAAACACACTACTAATAACATGGTAACACAGAAAAAACCTTATTTCGTTTTAAAGCTAGTGTGGTCCTTATTTCTTCTATTTTCCTTTTAAGCATTGTCTCAATATTGCAAACTTGACATAGTCTATTTATATTACCTTGTCAAGCCGAGCGCCAAATTCATTTAATTTATTTGATTGACGAGTAAGTCAGTAACATTATCGATGATTACATAATTTTATTTGATATTAAGTATTCGCGATTTTGTTTGTTATCAAGTTATTAACTTCATCTCTATCAGTTGTCTATTTATGAGCTAGGTCATGATAAATGCGTTTCCAAGCACTGTCGCGTATTTGTATAAGGCACTGTGATATCTCTTAACCGGCGTCTATCCCATTTTATTGGTCATCTATGTCTACAAATTAGATTACTGCAATTTTATTTCTTTTCACAAACTTAATCGAGAAGTTTTTCCAAGTATATTAATAACATCGTCTACAGCTCATAAGAATGATACGCAAATTCGCGTTATAAATTTTAAAGGCAATCCTGAAATAAAAAAAGAAAAAATTAAGAATTAAATTCATGTACAATGAAATGTAAGGAATAATGAATGTCCTTACTAATATTGTAAACGCGAAAGTTTGTATGTATGGATGTATATTTGTTACTCTTTCACGCAAAAATGACTTTAATCGAAACTTTACAATAATATAGCTTACACATCAAAATAACGTAGCGGCTATAATTTATAAATATATTGTGTGAATTGTCCAAAATATAGGTAATGATAAATGTCAACTAAGTAGGCAAAAAATCTGCCATGTAGGAGATATTCTGATGTATAATAAAAAACTCATTGTTCCCTTTGGCCGCGGATAAGAGTTAGTAATTCAAATTAAAGGAAATATCTCCGTGCCGGATTGACTATAATAAGTCCTTAAATTACAGGTGGTGCATTTCGCTTTTAATTTTATTTTAATTCTCTAAGAATTTAATTATTTTAATGAAGAATTTTTGAAAATTTCATTCGAATATTGTATGTAAGAGATGAAAATTGTATTCTTAATTTTTGCTTTTGTTCGATAATTTCAATAGGTATATAATTATAAATTCAAGGACCAAAAATCCTTGATACTAGTTGATATATTAAATTGCTCCGCAATATTCAGGCAAAGTAAATCCAGTGATATGAATTTTTGTAATTCCTTCCAAATTGCGCCCGTACCAAGAGTTGACGTCAGAACTTCTACAGTCCTTAGAGTGTAGACTCGTAAAGAGTTACTAATAAATTTTTAAATTGGATCCAATAATATTTTCATAATTTCATAAATGCAAAGCAAGAGCTCTTTAAGATTTCTTTTTTAAAAACAGTAGTAGAGTATACAACATTGCACTAACATTTTCAACGTAATTGTGCCAATCCAGTTCATAATTTAAAATAAAACTTGTAGCATTGTATTTAACTTTTTAGCTTAAAACTAATTTTAAACAAATCTAATTTTTGTTTTTCACTTCGAACAATCTTAATGGTGGATAAAAATTGAAATAAAATTTACAAATTAAAAAAAGTTATTGTTTGCTAATAAATATCTTTCAAAACATTATACTCCCCCTATGTGGTAAGACTATTTTGTGTTTTAGAGGCGTTTCATATAAGAGAATAGTATTTGAGCAAGCAAATTATATTTATTTATTTAAACCTACCGCGATTTAAAAGTATCTATGTCAAATTATTATATATGTAGGTTACTTTTGTTGCATGAAACATATTCAAACAAAGTATGAAAATTTACTTTCAATGACTGTCATAAAAATGCTACCTTTAATTATATAGTAAAAGGAACTATAAAATTAAATGACCAATAACAAGTGACCAGTCATCTTCATCTGTATGCACAGGAGTGTTTGTATCCTACCTTTCAGTCAGATGTGTGTGATGGGTAGAGGATTTATCTGACATAATCCGTAAAGGGAAATCCGTAGTCTCCAGTACCGTGTGGAGACATGTTCGTAATTATTATTTAGTTTGCACGCCTCAGAAAACTTGAATACTAAATTACTTTGTTAGCAGTTTGAATATTGGGTTGCTGCAATTAATAACTTTTCGATGAACGAAACTTGAGTATATTCTTATGCCTGCTCAAGTCCATTTAATAATAATAATAGTCGAATAAGAAATAAATTGGATGGTATTCTTCACCTATCGAACCCTAGAATGGACGTCATATATAATCAGGAGTCCGGTATGAAGCCAATAAAAATCGTAGATTTATTTTTAATTTATCAGGATCATGGTGTATAAACATAAGTTTGGAATTTGGATACTGCGGATCCCGTAATATAGACCAAAGTGTGAATCAATTTCGCAAGTTTTACTTCTATAATATTGCCCCTTTTTTCCGTTCATTTATATTAATAATATTATGTTTTCTGCACTGTTATTCATACAGTGCTTTTATTTTTTTACTTTCACTTATTATTTTTTAATTAATTATTGTGTTCTTAATTTTTTAATTTTTAACATTACGAGACATGTAACATGTGTATAGATGGAGTGTCGAGATAAAAATTTCTTGTCTTATGTTCATAACAGTAACATAAAACGTTGCCAGCGTTGTGACAAGAAAATTACCAATAAACGCTTATTATTTATGGGGGGATATTCATTTGTTTTCTCGTCTGGTTGGGTTTATAAATAAAAATAAAAATATAGATACATATTGCATATATAAAATAAATATTATGGATAAAAATAAACGTATACATATAAATGTTGTATATAATACATATATAAATAGGACCCAACCAGAAGGAAGCCCTCGGCAGAGGAGACCAAACGGCCGAGGGTTAGGGCGATAGGGAGAGAAACCGGCGGACGATGCGGGCGGTATCGAGGAGCACCGCCTTCTGCATTTGAGCTTGGAGCGATCCGTCCCGGAGTCCCAGTCGCCTCAGATGTTTAGAGAGGCTGACTGGGATTAACCCATTCGCAGACACGACTATCGGGATAATTTCGGTTATTATTTATTGTTATTACTTTCTTTAAAAAGCTTCTTTCTATACTATATATCTTTCGGTACATATTGTCTCCTACAAGATTAAGTTTTTAATAAAAAACAACAAAAAAAACTTATGAGTAGCATGACACTGTGTATCGTATACTACTTAAAGGCACGGATGGGCAGGCTCGTCCGGGTAAGTACCACGACCTCACAGAAGACCGGCGTAAAGTGGAATTATATTACTTTCGCGTTTCGTCTGGTGAGTTAGGTGGCCGGAGCCCAATTTTCGAAAGGTTGTCAACGCATTTGGAACCTTCGGGTGTAACAGATGTCCGCGGCGGTATTCACTTAACATCAGGCGAACCGTCTGATCGTTTGGCAACTTTTCACATAAAAAATACTCCATTCTATTTTAATAAGAAATAACAGTACCATGTTACACGACTACACGTCACATCCTACGTGTATGTATACCATCATCACATCATCACCTCGGACTCCTTTTTTTAATGTCCGCTATTATGCTATTAGGTCATCTACACGATCTGAAATCTACTTCCACTTACCTCAAGTGCGTAATATTGTGATATTATCTGCACCGTGGTTCGAGTTCCTAATTCCTTATTCTTTACTTGTAGTTACCAGTGATGTAGCGTGATGTACGGTAACGTCAGCGAGGAGGCTGCGGCTGATGACAGACCGTTGCAGGAGCACATTGTTGTTCTCGTGGTCCTTTACGTGTTCGTCTCCATCGTCGGCATCATCGGTAAGTTCTTCAGTTACGAGGTCAAGCTCGTCTATTACTTCGTCAGTCGCTCGTCTATTACTCGTCTGTTACTGGGCAGGTCCGTCCGGGTACCACGACCTCATAAAAGACCAGCCAAATTATTTTACACTTCTGCGGTTCGTCTAGTGAGTGAGGTAGCCGGGACCCACTTTACTTATAGGTGGCAAGGCATTTGCAACCCTATGGGTGTTGCAAAAGTCCATGGGCGGCGGTTATCACTTAACATTAGCTGAACCGCTGGCTCCCCCCTTTATCACATAAAAAAAGCTTAAAAAATAAACTTAATTAAAAAGAAGCAGTTTTATCGAATGCAAACGTCATGGATAGGCTTACTTGTCTTTCTACGAGTCAAAACAACATCGTAGATTTTCTAATATATCTCTCAGATCGTTGAATTTTTATAGGTTAAAATTTGTAAAAAACAATGAAAAGTTTTTCGTCGCTTCGCTTTATGTCATAGAAAATTTAAATTTCGATTTTTGATAGGGTTAAAAATAATCAAACATTCGATGCGTTAATTGATGAAACTAAGTGATTCAAACTGCCAAGTAGAACATTTTTGGCTTTTTTGCATTGATTGCGAATATTCACATTACATTTAATTAAAATAAAGCGCTCACAAGTTTCTACTGGGATAAAGAGGACCGAGGTTGAGATAATCTCTTGTAGTTTAATATCTGCAGTCCAGGAAACCCCTTTTCACAATAACTTATTAAGTTTAAGCGTAAAACTTATTCGTAACGGAAGCGAATCATATTAAATCCCACAAATATACCATAAACACCGCCATAAGGCGTGAAAATAAAAAACAAATAAAGTTCCGGGTCATAAAACTGACTTCGATCCCGCTGCGGATCGTCCATTATATACGAAATAGTGTGTCTCTTCTTGTATTAACTGATGTTTTTGCTTTCAGTCCCGAGACTATTAAAGCTTCATCGGACGCAGAACCGGTGGGCTAGCCAGATTCCACGGGTTTGGACCCTCCGCTATGGGTAGGGTCGCGCATGTGCTCATGCGTGCGTTTAACTACTATGGTGTGTCATCTAAGGGCCGTCGAGGTCGCCGGTTCGGACCGAGACCCCGACGACCGTAGACTGTGCATTTAGCTAATCCTACGAAATAGTTACTCATAGCTTGATACATTTGTACCAATAACAAACACCATTGATCATTTCGAAGGATTTCATCGCGTTTTCGTCACAATCCCTGGCAACTTTCCAAACGGCCTTTTTGAAATTCTATTTCAGTACGTTGACGTCTATAGTAAATGATCCTTTACGATTTGGTAATCCCTTCAGTCCATTTTACTTGATATAAGCTCTTCATAGAGGTTAAGAAAATGCAGATTATACTTTATTCACAGACTTTATGAAAATGCAATTTATATAACAATGAAACTTTGATATTTTTATTTTTTTATCTTCACATCAGCGGAAATTTAACACCCAAATCAGTAAAAGAATATTAATAATGACTGTAACTTTTTTTGTCCTCAATTTCTTCTGCGCTACTACTTTCACTTTTGCATAAAGATCACATTTAGGTATATTGTATTTATTTAGCAATCCAATATCAATACATATTTTATAACTTGCCTAAACATTGTTTACTACTTGTGTGTCAATTATGGATTTAAAAAAAACAAGTAATATGTTAATACGTTAGAGCTTTTATAACGAGTATTTGTCGTGGTGAAAATAACAAGTAAAGGTAAATAAAATGGAAAGAAATGATATGAAATAAAATTTAAAGAAATAATAAGTTGAATTCATTTTATTCAACTATCAGTTGTTTGCTTGTCGTGTGAAGTCGGTGCATAAGTAGGTATTATAATTATAGAGCGTGTCGTTACAACCGCGACAATAAATGAACACTTTCAAATTCATTCAACCCATTCATATGCTTTGTGACCTTTACAAATGAACTTTACGTTACAGTTTTATACGTTCTAAAAATGTTTGTTTTGTAAAATTTAATAACTCATAACTAATATTGATGTTCAAAGAATGTAAATATTTAATACAATTTTAAAAAGTTACCTCTACATGTGTTCATTTATTGTCGCGGTTGTAACGACACGGTGTATATTCTCTCTCATATATGTATCTCTCTACGTTCTCGCTAACCAAACAGAAGTTGGAACTATTACGGGCCTTGTTTTAGCAAGCCGTAACAGGTCTAAATTTACTAAAGATATTTTAATAACGGCATTGGTCCTTTCGAAAATGGTATTAAAGATAGATAGTGGTATTAAATAGATAAGATCGCAGGGACGCGTTGGATGCAGGTCGCTAACAACCGGTCGAAGTGGAAGTCAATGGGGGAGGCCTATGTTCAGCAGTGGACGTCCTACGGCTGATATGATGATGATGATGATGATTAAAGCAAACACATTTCAATTCAAACTTAGCGATTCCGTTCCAGTAAAGTATTCAAAAGGTACGCGACGTTTAACAATCAAAATCGCGATATAACCTATGAACTGTTCTATTAAAATGCTTAATATTCGTATCTACGTAAATGAGATCTACTGTGGTAGGGCCATGCAACAGCTTCTGCTTGCACGAAAAGGCAATTACTACGCCCTCACCGGCGTGAATTAGAACTATTACTCTCGCGTTAAGTCTGGTGAGTGAGGAGTCGAGGCCCCGTATTTTTAAAGATTGTCAACGCAGAAACAAGTCATCGGGTGCTATTGATGTCCGCCTCTGCTCGCTTGACAACTTTTTGCACAAAATTTTTTTTATATGATAAAGTGACAAACGTGGTGGCGTTTCACCTGATGTTAAGTAATAACCGCCGCCCATAGACACTTGCAACAACCGAACGGTTGAAAATGCGTTGCCACCCTAAAATAAAATGAGCCCCGGCTACCTCACTCGCCAGACGATACGCATAAGTGTAACACTTCTACTTTACGCCGGTCTTCTGTGAGGTCGTGGTAACTACACGGAGGGACCTGCCCATTCGTGCCACAGTGAAAACTGTTGCGTGGACCTACCGTATTATCATTTTCATTTTATAAGTCTTAAAAGCTAGGTACAATAAGGCGGTCGTATCGCTAAAAAGCGATCTCTTCCAGACAACCTTAAGACGAGGAAAAATAAACTAATGTATAGTGGGAGGTGGTGTGCTCAATAAACTTGCTTAATACCAAAATAAACTTAAATATAATAAAATAAAAAGAAATTACAATAAACATACATAAATAGATATATGATATGTATGAATAACATAAATAAATACACGACAGAAGAATTAAATCCGAATATTGCCATTAAAAACTATGGATTACAAAGAGATTGATAATGTTGTTTTACGTCATTTTTAAACTTGTCTAGTGTCTGCGAATTTAATGAGGAAGTTCATTCCACAAGCAGATGGCCTTAACTGTAAAGGAGTTCTTATGATATTTAGTTTTGTACGCATGTGGTGCAAGAATTAGATCTTCAGCGGATCGCAGAACTACCTTAGCTAGAGATATAAAGAAAAATCCGTTTATAATGTTTAAGACTCTGCTTTTCATAGGCAATGTCAGTTTAATGGCGGCTTTGGCGTCCGGTGGCGCTTCGCGGCTACGCACCCCGCAACTCCTCAGCGCGTGCGCAGCCGACCTCTTGGTGTGTGCTGCTAGCGCCCCACTAGCCGCCACCCGTGCTGCCAGCCTCCACCATCTTCCCTGCCACGTAACTAATTACATAGAAGTGAGTTATGGCGCCTTAAATCATACCGTGGAAGTGATCCGTTATTCCTTTGTGTTTCGCTAATTACTTTTGAGGGAAAATCACGTTAATGTTTCATCGCATATTTGATACGTCGCTATAAGCAAAACCACTTCACCGTGGCGGTTTATAATGGTCATATAGCATAAAAAAGTAACCGAGTCTGCATTGGAAGCCGAACAGTTGATATTGAATGTTGATACAATATGATCGTTATAACCGACTTCAAAAAAGGTAGTTCTCTAATCGATTGCATTTTTTGTGTTTGTTACCTCATATCTCCGTCATTTATGAATGGAAACTATTTTTGAATTGTGTTTGGTATTAGTTTTTTCCCACATGAATTTTATAGGGCTACAAAAACTCCTCAAAATTATCAAATAGAAAATATTGTTGAATTAATTTTTTTGGTTTTGTTAATAAAAATATACTCGTTCATTTTGACCGTCATGAAAATATTGTTAGTTGTTGTGATCATATTTACTAAGGTGACATGAATTTTATTATGTAGAGTAAACACTAAATACGAAAAAGTTGCCTCTTTAAATAATGTATGTTGACATGTACTGTTGGTACTGTCAAATATAGATAGATACATTGCGGTTCATATTAGTTCAGTATTTGATTAATCCGCAGTCAGTTCCTGTGGCTGCGAGCACGCTGTCGATCGTCGCCATGGCAACGGACCGCTGCGGCGCGGTTCTGCGCGGACGAGAGAACACAATGTGTGCGCGCCCTTACGTAGCAGTCGCAGGCGTTTGGGTCGCTGCCTTTATACTGGGCAAGTATTCGACGAGACACCGTTTTCTAAAGTATTTCTGTGACACTATTTCACATATTTGTAGCAATCTAATTATGTATAACGTACGAGAAATATCATACGATCAACACTATATTTAGAATAGTAACGCTGTTTGTAATAAAACCAGAAGATGAGATTTTAATGTAACATTTTACAGTAGCTGTTAACATGATGTTCGATTGCACGGATCCTAAACATTTCTTATTTTACTCACAAAGTATATACAGCATATAGTATAGTCATATAATATAGCTATCGATTTAATTTTATTTAAATTTGTAGGTTACAAAAACTTTTCTAGAAATGTAACTAAAACTCAGATCGTTGATCGCCTTAACATATTTATAAGATTTCGATGAGAAACAATTACATATATTGCCACCGTTAGATCGGGCGCTACACGTTGCGTATTCCTCGCAGGTGCGGTCATCATGATAGCCACGTGTGTGTCCTGCCCGCCGCTGGCGGCGGCGCACGCCGTCGTCACCTACTGCGTGCCGGCCATAGCTGTGACCAGGTGCCACTGGGCCGTCCGCGTCAAGCTCACCGCTCTCTCGCTGACCGCGAGAGCCGCCCACGGGGAGCTGCCGCTACCGGTGCCGCTCATCAGGCGGCCGACGCACGTGATCATCGTCGCTGGAGTCGGCGCATGCGAGCGCCGCGACGCGGTCGACGTCGGCGACGCGAGAGGGAAGAAGCTGCAGCCGAGCCTGCTGGGGCCGCAGCCGCAGACGTCCACGCTGCGCTCGCGCCGCCGCCTCGGCAACGTGCTCATCGCGATCGGCGCGACATTCGCCGCGTGCTGGTGCCCCCACGCGGCGATCGTGGTGGCGGGCGCGTTTGGCGCGCACGCGCCGGCGGCGCTCGCCCAGTACGCGCTGCTGCTCGGCCACGCACACTCCGCGTGGAACGCCGCCGCCTATTGGGTGCTCAACAGGCACGCCCTGACCGCCGCCTGCGTCGCCTGGCGCATACCGCAGCTGCGGGTCCGCGAGGAAAGGCCCTCGTCCACCAACGAGGCCGCCCTCGGGGCGTTTCACCCGCGGCTCGCGCGCCCCGCCCCCTCCCCGCGCCCGCCCCCCTCCAGCTTTTTGTATTGAAACGGTCTATCTTCTAAGCTCTGTCAATCTGTGATTCCTGTCTCTCAGTGCCTCGTAGAGTGCGGCGCCCGCCGCTCGTTTCGTCGTTACGAAAGTGGTTGTTTTGAGATTTTATCGTGAATTAATATCTGTGAAGCAATAAAGTGCATGAAACACTCGTCTTCGTTTTATTACAGCACTGCCGTAAAAAGTCCGCCGCTTTTAGATTTACTGCATGCTTTTAAAAAAATCTAACCGGAGTGCCGCTCTAATGCAACCCAGATGGCGGGCACACAAATTTCAGACCCGGATATACACTAAAAAATAATTTCCTAACTTTTACTAAATTACTGACATTTGGCATCTTACAAGCCTCGTATTGAGTGGCAGATACCCCCAATGACAATGCCTCATTATCCGAGTAGATACGCTGATGAGTAGATCCCCGGCGGTGGATATCTAGAGTGGCAATTGGCTCCTTTTGCCTCTCCCAGGTCGCACCCCACGATAGCACTTAGCTCTTGGCATTGCACTGACCAGGCTGGGCACCCTTGCAGAGTATGTTGGGCCGTCTCAGCACAGACGTCCCAGGGGAGGCCTGGGTACCTGGCCTACCCTTACCTATAAAAACTTGGACAGTTTTTTATTAAAAGATAGAAAAAAATAATATCGAGTTCCTATTAATTCTGTATAAATCATTTTTATAAAATTTTCAAAGTTGTTTTAGTGTAAGTGTCAATCTTTGCAAATGACGATGTATGTAGTAAGTTTTAAGAAGGGATAAGCTGAAAATCAGCACTGAGAAATTCATAGAAATCCCTGACCTTTTTGCCAAAATGAAATTTATATATGTTTGTGTATTGTATGTTAATTTTATATATTTTTCATTCATATTTTTTCTGTGTATTTTTCTTTGTTTTTTTTTTTGGTTATGGCAAATAAAGAATTATTATTATTATTATTATTATTATTATTATTACAAAAGAATTTAAGAGCATTACTAGCATAGATTTTGAAATTTAATTTTGTCTAACATTCATCACATCACTTTTATTCAGGATGAAACATATCATTCCATTAATTCATTAAAACCGGATCAAGCATAGAACCAGCAGGATCAGTATACGTCACGTTCTGCTCCATCGTCAACCCCTTTATTCAGAGATTAGATAAAAGGTCTATATCCCTTTTGCGCAGCATTTGTACATTTCAGGCAATGGGTTTAAAAACACTTAACGATTAAAACATTAAACTGAAATTACGTATACTAATTAGCTATCTTAACTTACTGCGCTTTCTTTTGGAACAGATATTTTACAAATAAAATAAATTTAATGTCCAAAACGTTTGTTTAGAATGCTTGGATTTTTTTTTTTCATATTTTGTGCTGTTATTTTATAAAACAAGTTTAAAAAACAACTTGAAGGTAGCCACAGTAGAACAGCTTTAATTTTATTTAAATTTGAGACTCTGAGACGTCAATCAGGGAAAAATTGATACTGTCTCTAACAATAAAATTGTAATAACCCTAGCAGTGTAGACGTGGTTTTAGTCATTTGTACAAAGAAGAGATAAAAACTATGTAAAATTGGTTAACTTTTGAAGGACGAAATAAAGAAGAGAGAAAGACGAGCGGCTCTGCCATTGGCCGAATGAAAATAAAAGTATCTAAACTTTTGAATTCAGTTTTCTTTTTGTAAGTCAAGCCAATGAGACTGCGAAAACTGGCCAAGCACAAGTCGGACTCGCACAGGAAGGGTTCTATACCATTATCTATAAAGACGGCAAGAAATTATGTCTGTTATATGGGAGCACTACTTAAACATTTTCGTTTTTTCTTGCTTGTTATAGCGGCAATAGAAATACATCATCTGTGAAAATTTCAACTGTCCAACTATCATCGTTCATGAGGATGACTATACTGGTGACAGACGAACAGTCGGACCGAATGACAGACAGCGGAGTCTTAGTAATAGGTTGCCGTTTTGGCCTTTGGTTACGGAATCCTTTAAAGGTATTGTTGACATGCGAGTCAACGAGGGGATGATGGAAGATAATCACTTTAAAAACAGGATAAAACCCCACTAAGACCCCGATATAGCAGCCATTTGATATCTTCTCCTATTTAAAAATAATGCAAATGAAACACAGTTAAGTATAAAGTTTGAAAAATAATTTGACTTCAGCCAACCACACTACTTAATATAATAATAGACAAATGTACACAAACTCCACATATCTCTGACTGAATGTAGCAGAAAAGCAACATAAATCATCATTTGTAGCGCGCAAAATATCTGAAAACCAGTTATCTACATATTCAATCTATAAACTATACGAGCGGTTTAATGTTCCAATTATTTGTTTTTCCAACTCGCAGAACTGTCGAACGTTTGTTTTGCCTTATTTTTGTCAACATGGGGGCAATGCAAAAAGCGTGTCCATGGAAAAAATACGCAACACGGTTAAGTGCTTTTAATGGAATAAGGCATCTATTCCATGCTTCCTGTCTTATTTGTTTTTTTTATATTTAAAAGTATTGTATAAGTTGTAATGGTTAATTTTTGTTCTCTGCTCAAACTCCCTTAATTTTTAAACTAACCTCAAATACTTGCCATTAATACTTCTAATTACTTATAAATAATTACAAATAAAATAATACCAATGTGAATGTTGTGCGTATGTAATTTATTCGCACATTCAATATAATGTTTAATTTAAGATCGAGAAATTGTGCGAAACTTGATCACTTCAATTTTTATGGCAGTTTCTTTAAATAAATTTTATCGATATTGTTTGCGAGTGTTCATTTATCTGCTCCTGAACCAGTTAAGAAACGCGCAAAGATATTTATGCCCGTGATGTGATAGGGACAAAGCTTTGTAGCCTCCACAATAGGCGCAAAGTAGCCCTCTCTTTAGTGTTCTATATATTCGTTGTTGCACAGCAAAATAGTGGAACATTTGTATAGCGTCAGTTTTCCCACTCATTAAACATGTAAGTGTTCAAGGCAGGGATGAGTAAACTTTTTCTGAGCTGAAGTCTTTATCACCCTATAATACACCACTGTTTACATCGTGGAGCAAGGAATCGAGCACGGAGAAGTTTTAGATTTAAAAAAAAATATCTGCAATACCAACAAATCAATCAATCGTCAACAATCGTCGAATTATTTACCAAGTATTTTAGACACAGACACTGTGACTCGTGTGGCAGCCTCGTACTGGGCATCGCAGTGTGGGACGACCCCCCACTAGATGGAGTGACGACCTGTGCAAATGTGCGGGAAGTAGATAGATGCAGGTGGCTCAGGATCGTACTTCATGGCAGTCTATGGGGGAGGCCTATGTTCAGCAGTGGACTAAAACAGGCTGAAATGATGATGATGATGACTGTGACTAAAATAACGAATACGAGATTGTGTGTTGGTCATTGTTTTGGTAATAACCTTTTTGTCCCTTAAATACACTATTTATATTTTAAAAACAACGAAATCAGTAGGCGCTTGTCTTTATTTGTAACTAGCTGTGCCCGCGACTCCGTCCGCGTGGAGTTTAAAATAAAAAAAAAATCTAATATAAAAGTAGCCTAAGTTACTCCTTATTACGTGAGCTATCTGTCAGTGAAAGTCCCGTCCAAATCGGTCCAGCCGTTTCAGAGATTAGCCGGAACAAACAGACAGACAGATAAACAGACAAAAATTGTAAAAAATGTTGTTTCGGTATATGTACCGTGTATACATCCATATGCATTTAGTAAAAAGCGGTTATGTTACATTTTTTATTTATCCATGTTTCATTTTAATTGGATGAATAATATACCTCGACAGTATATAGAATTTAATGGTTGATAGAAACTCACACAACGTACGTAGTTTACGCCCAGATATAGTCACAAGTTATGTTACATTTTCCATGTTTATTTTAATCTAATAACCTGACAGTATTAGAATTTAATGAAGACTAATATAAAACATTATATTTCTGCTTAACTGGTTCCCTTTTATTCCAATAGCGTCAAATACTTTAACGGAGCTTTTGTCGGTAGGAAACTATTATTAAAGTCGCTAAAGCTTGCCTTTAAAAGAACCGATGTACGTCTTTCTTTTCTTTGTAAAACGGTTCTATCGTCTGAGTTCTATTATAAAGACATAAGCCTCAGTGGGTCTTATTTTTATTAATGTGATATAACAATATATGCTATACAAAATATTAAACTATTATTCGTATATGTTTTATATAATTTCGATTGTAAATTAATATCCAATAAAAACTATTATTAGTTCAGTGTTTTTTTTTTAAATAATAGTAAGCTTCACTGCTTACCAATATTTTAAAAATTCCCACGTCTACACGTAAGCAACTGCGCATTCTAAGCCATTTGCACATAAAATAAGAAAAGACGAAAAGTACGCCACAAGTTAATAATCATATCTATTAAATGTACTATCTATGTATATAGAAGTATGCATACTATATTTGACCTCACTCAATTATAATCCTCTATACCCGTTATTGGCAATATAATAAAGGTGCATTTATGTTACGAATCGCATCGGTAATGTCTAATACATATTCAATATTATTGCCTCAAAGCAATACAATCAAAATATATGTAAATCAGAACCGTAAGATGCAACATAACTATGTATTATATAAAATGTACAGTGCACTACGCACTATAACATATCAAATATTAAGCACAGTTTAATATTGTAAATATGTACATGAAAAAACCGTTTATCTTCAGTTAGTAAAAGCTAAACACGGTATTTCATTTAAAAGCGGCAATGCGTTTACAACCTTACGGGAGTTGCAGTTGTCCATGGGCGGCGGTTATCACTTAACACCAAGTGACCCAGTAGCTCGTTTGCCACGTTCTCACATAAAAAAAGCTATGTTGTGAACCAATTTTAAGTCAATCCAGCTAGTTTTTGAGTATTAGAGTCATCAAACCCTTACAGGTTTATTTCTTTTCCTTTTAATAGGATTTGATCACTATAGGCTTTGCGCATTTAC